AGTCTTTCGAGTTTTCGTGAATTCGTCGTGCAATTTGCCGCTTCCATCCGAAATAGGGTGAATGTATTGACTCCTCGGATGACTGAAAAGTTCGCCTGTCCCCACACAAAATGTCATCATTCTTGAAACTTCCATTTCCAAGTAGGATGTATGCGTAATCATTTCCTATCAATACCTTGTAAAACCGACAACTAGTCAATCAAGTTGAAAGGTTGATGTGGTGTGGTGACGCACACTATCACACGCATTGTCCGGAGATCGAATACATGATCGATGCTCGCGTGGGCTACCTAAGCCTTCATTTCTCACGGGTTTGGTTGCTTTTCAACAGACTTCTTTGGAAGGATAGAAGCATCAAGTGACAACGTTTGGTCACCGTAAGCCATTTTTGGAGGCCACACACATATTCACAACGTCACTGCGATCCGAATTGGGAACTGAATACAGGAGCGCATCTCTTAAAAAAGATTGATTGACCCCAAAAAACTTTATTTTTGATTTTCTACCCTAAACTTTTCGTGTAATGAGACTTACATAACTTATAGGGCCGAACTCATGTTCATGTGAAAGCATTCAAAAAGCTGGATTGTTCGAAGGCAAGAGGCTTCCAGTCTTCAGTATCCATTCATTGTTGCCGATCTTGACTTATAGAACACAACAAAAGACCTACTACAAGTGACTAGTCCATTGACCAACTTTTACACATTTTTATATGATCTATAATCAACGATATCACATGGGAACGCGGCTAGCATGTCAACAACTTGCCAATTTGATGAGAAAGCCGAAGCGGAAATGGAGACGATGGATTCCTATTTCAGCTCATTCGAGGAAAAGGGTTGAGAGACTCATGAGTTCTTTCTATAAATATGCCCTCCCCCAGCTCAATTCTGATAAATGTGAGGCGAACTGATTAAGCTTAAAATGTTCCACGACTGCACTCCATTGATCTCGGCACGGTCCAAGTAACAGTTGCTTTTAATCGCCTCTCTTTTGATAGCCTCCGAGAGTGGTGAAACTTCAGAATCAACTGATCCGCTTATTTCGAGCTGCCGAGGGCTGCTCAAGGTCTGGCTGGTCTGTTTTAGAAATGCCTCATTTCTGATCTGTAAGCGGAATTAGTGGAACGTTTCCAAAAATCAGAATATAATAAATCTCGTGAAAAAAGGTATCTTGGTGGTACAAGAGTATACGACGAGAAAGGAAAGAAACAGTGGCTGTCACATTTTTATTCTCTTCTCAGAAAGGAATACCCAAATACAGACAGATAAAGATGTAATGCGTTGTTGCGTAAGCGACATAGTTTTCAACCTTGTTTGTTCCGTGAGACACCTCTTCTCCTCGCAGATAGGTCAAAGATATGTATTATAAAATAGATTTGAGATAGTCGTTTCAACCCTTACGGCTTGGCAATGTTAGTTGATGACAGGTTGGGATACACCGAAAATCATATTACTGAGTTGTTTGCTCGCATTCTTCATGACGTTTGTAAACAGGCTTTATTAGGTTGACGTTTGCTGATGAGGTTCACAGAAAGCCACACGGGAAAGTTACGTCGAGGATCAGAATTGAACCCGTTCCTCTACATCGAAGGACTCATCAATGGGGCCCATAGGAACTGATTCCTGATAACGGAGACGGACGAAAAGTACAGGACGAGCTGCAGAAATGGAGGAAAGTTCTGGCGAAGTCTATGCTCGGATGGAATGTGAAAAGGACAAAGATCCTCAGCTCGAAAGTATGCACCGAGTCAGTTGTAGTCTGCTTTCGAGAAGCAGAAAAGTGCAGGATTTCCGATATCCGAGGATAGACCTATGTAGTTGCTGACAGTAGCGACGGGTTGGCTTTAAAATTCGATTTCGAATTGGAAGCGGCTTGGATGAAGTGGTGGGAATTCACTGTTACCCTCTGCCACCGACTGAACCCCACGACGCTCAATAGAAACGTGTTGCAGCCAGTGGTTAGGTCACGATGGGTTACTGAAAATCAAGACGGGCAACTTCACTCTGCTGAAATGAGGATGCCCAGATGAGCCTGCTGTTGGACGCGACTGGACCGGATCAGAACCCAAGACTCACAAGGAAGGTCTTTCAGGGCGTGAGACGCTTTTCGAAAATGGTTTTCTGCATGGTATAGGGGCATGAGCACTTAGTATAGAACTATGGTCCATTTCCGCTAAATGGCCTTCTGAATGCCAAAAAAGGAGTAAAAATGATTTTGTCAAAAATTGCCGTTTTAATCCACTACGCGTAGTTTGTTTCACTCATGCAGTCTACTGTCCGCACAGTAGAAGGCGCTAGTGGACTGCGCATTGAAAATAATGCAAACGGTAACCAAAAAAGGGAGCCACATGTTGAAGCATGTTGAAGAGTGCGAGGAGGTTTCATGTGTGCTCTCCACAAGTGAGCTGCTTGCAGCGACGGATGGTGTGGTAGGTAGCGATGTGGACTTCGGGCTTGGACGGCTAGGCTGGGTTGATGGTTCGGATAATCGGGGGTTTGCCGTTCTTGCATTTTATGCTGCCACCTCCACATTGTCTCCATATTGCACCAGCGTTTGGCTGGGCATGGTCGTGACCGGAACCACAAAAAAAAACGATATCATATCATCTGTTCTTCGGACATTGTATGAACATTGTACAGTCCATACAATTCTCTGAATGGTTTGGACAGAAATGGTTTGATTGTTGTTTTATTTCGACCGAATTCCTTCACTGATGAAAGGCGCATCTAATTTCGATGACTTACCGTTTCCGACCCTACCGTTGTAGGGTTTTTGTCCACTGTTCTGCTTGGTCATCTCCATTGCCTTCTCTTTTCACGATCAGTATCTTCTGCAGTCACCTCGACTCCAGGAAGGTCCTTCTTGACCGTGACCTGCCAGCCCTTCATAGGGTTAGGGGATCGTATGTTGGGAACGGGTATCGCCCAAACCCTTCATCCAGTCTTAATCTAGTAATCTGGCACTTGAATTCAGGAGTGACAGCTTTCTATATCAAGCCCAATGTTCATGGTCCTTTAGCAAGAAGACGCGTTGAAAGAGAATCTGTTTCGTTTTCCCACAGAAGTACCCGGTTCAAGCTCAGTTGACGCCAAGGAATCGGGAGCTACAATGAATACGGGAATCGTGTTATCTTTGCATTGCCGAACAAGGTCGAAGGCAGCTTCCATCGAACAGGAACCATAATGAGGGGATTTGACCCCCATTACAACACTTACACAGTGTGAAATGAAAAGACCCCTTTATATTCCGGGGAGTGCGAAGACTGCAAGCTCCTCCACTGGTAGTGCTCCACACATCAAATCCTAACGACTTGTATAGGTTATGGGTGGTCTAGTCATGACCATAATCAGTAAGGCACTTGCTTCGGCTCTGCTGCAATCCGGAGCCAATTTGGAGGTGGCAGTATAAAATGCAAAAACGGCAAGGCATCGGGGATCCGAATCATCCATTTTAGCGGAAATGGACCATAGTTCTATACACAGTGCTCATGCCCCTATACCATGCAAAAAACCATTTTCAAAAGGTGTCCCACGCCCTTAAAGACCTTCCTTGTCAGGGCAGTCATGCCAATGCCCAGCTGAAACTGAAAGCGTAGAAATAGAATAAGGGTGCTAGTATATTCGAAGCTCAAGGAATGCGGTCACTGGGAGTCCTAAAAAAGGGAAACGATGGAGAAAGTCGTCATCGAGGACAAAATAACGTGCAGCAGATCCCGTGACAGCGAGATGAACGTTAGCAAGAGTAAAAAAGAGAAAAAAGTAACTCAGATCGTATACTTTGTCATTTAAATGTCAACAAAACACTCAGAAAGCCTTACCGCTCTAGCAAGAGCTTCATTATACCTTCAGTAATAGGTTGGGCTCTCGCCCACCTCAGATGTACGGTAGTCACAGTGATATGAATATCATTTATCGAACAAGCAATAACAGAATAATAACAGGTGTCGGACAAATGAGGTGCCGAGCCTCTTCGGACCCGAGGCGAGAGGAGTCGAGGTCGTCGTCTTCGTCTTCAGCTCCATCGTTGCGGATCTCGTTCTTTCCACTGCCTCCTCCATTGCCATTTGTACCTCCGCCGCGTCGCTGCCTCCTGTAATCAGTTCTCATCATCGGCGTGCGTTAAGCTTACTGTATGAGAAACAT